CGTGGGTGAGGAGGGGGGGGGGTCAAATGTCTACCAGGGGGGGGGTCCAAAAAAAGTCATTTTGCCTCCATGACTTTCAAGGCGCTATAAGTTACACTTTATTAAATTTTATCGGACATTTTACTACATATTGAAAGCATTATAAAATACTATAATGATACTCCGCCACAGCCTTCTGGAGGAGCGCCATCGAGAGATTCGGCCGCGCGAAAGTGAGTGGGTACCGGAGTTGAGCGAGATCGTTGATTTCTCCGCCACTGTAGACCACCCTGTTGAGCTCCGCCCGAACCGAGTAATTGAGGGGTTTAGTTCAGGACCCCCGCTTAAATACTCCATCTTTTCCAGGTACTCAACGTTCTTCCATTCCAAGTAGGCGAAAGTTTTTCCAACGCCCTTCGATTAAATGTGTTGTCACCCAATCCTGTAGCAGTACAAAGTTTCCAAGAAGGTACGGGCGACGACATGAAGATGGGATATTCTCCTCGAGTTGCTCGATGTAGCCACCAGCGCACACCCTCAGTCTGGGGCCCACGAAGAAAATATCGGTTCATCCATTCCAGGTACGGCCGGTCCACACCATCAACCCGCGCCTTGGTGAATGGGGTGAAGATGATGTCCTGGACCGTAGCGACGTTGCCGGAGCTGCTCGATGTTTGAGGTCTTGCAGATCAAGAGTACTGGTCTCCAGGTAGCTATCCATGGGTGATTCCATTCAAGAAGTTCCGCAGCTGTTTGGAGGCCACGTGAATTCCAAAGGCGTTCTCCACTCAGGCCGCGACTGGAGATGACTTCATATTTTGGTGTACATGAAGGTGAATGGCAGGCAGCCGGCTGTATGAGGAAGCTCTTGGTTTTCCACCCTGCATACTTCAATCCACTCTCTCATGTCTGGGCTGCGAAAAACTTCGTTCTGCTCATATGCTGACTCGGCCTGGAAATGACGTTTTTTTTGCCCCCCCCCGTTAAGCGCAACTGAACCTTGCCGCTGTAGCTCAGGTACACTGACTTTTGCTTAAGTTTGTAAGGGGACCAAACAACTTCCAAATATTTTTCTGCAGTGCCCTGAATGAACTAGCACGTCTTCAAGGTATGGCAGTTCTGAGTTCCAGCCGGTATAGAGTGAAACTTATAAGCATGGTGCTTTCACGGATATGCAACCAGATAGACATCAGCTGTTACGTAAAAATCTCATTTTCTATAGATCGAACTGTGATTTATTCTAAATCTCCTTACAAGACGTCTATAACAGCTTGAATGGTGTGAGCGAAATTAAAGTTTCCAGCAACAACGGGGGTAATTTTTCTGTAGTGGCGCCAGTTCCTCGACAATTATGGACAAGGCAGACCTAGTAAGCCTATTCTTGAGAGTGACCTAAGTCGGCCGCAGTTCGGCTTTGATGTGGGCATTATCTGCATTCCAGTCCAACACCTACTGATGCATCTGTAACCAAGTATAATCCTTTGCAAAGCTACCTAGTAGCAGGAAGCTTGTCCACAGATGACGAGGGTCCGGTACTCCAGAAGAACTCAAACCGAAGAACGAGCGAAAGGCCATCCTGGACTTCTTTCGAAGGAAACAACTTTGAATCTCTCATTCTTCCCATATAGACTGTTCTGCTCCTGAACCTATGCTCGAATGGAGGTTAGAATACTTGCGTTCTCGCGAAAGTTTTTATGCCTCTCTTGGAGTCGATTTTCATTCTTTGCTATACGATTTATGCGCGTCATGAAATGATATTCAGCCAGGGATTCATGAGATTCATGTGCACACCTTGTCAAGTTTTTTAGGAAAAGCTTTCTTTGCATTTTTTAGCGGTTTCATATAAAATTGCTCAATTTTTTTTTCTAACTGAGTTCTTATAGTGTACATAGCTTTGTCTAATGTGGAGATCTCGATTCCTCCGTTTTTCGATGAAGTCTTCACTTCTGATGAAATCTGGCAGCATTCCAGCGGAGTTTGATCCGCAATAAAAACCAATGTGTGCCTTTCAGTGAGTGAAATATTCGCCAATTTGGCTTGTTATCAAAGATTGACGGGTTCGGGCAGCGGCCAAAAGTTAGAAGATATGTGTCCCTAGAGTGCCTGGGTGCGCAATGCTAAGAGATTGATCGACCTCTCCGCTTAAACTCTTGAAAAAATAACAAACGACCGAGGTTCCATAAGTTTCATGCAGATCTACCGTATTTTCAGGTTACGGTAAAGTAGAGCCACGAACACCGAATGGCCGAATATTCACGGTTATCTACGGTTTCATAGGAATACCGGTGACGGTAATACTGCTCACAAATCTTGGACGATATTTGGAGCGATTGACCCAGAAAGCACGTCGAATCTGCTCACGGGTTGGTTAGCTTAGAAAGGCTGAAATTGGAAAAATGAGAAAGAAATTTGTATTCTAGCCGGATGCCGATAGCGACAGTATAAACGGAACAACTCTGTTTTTCATTATGATTTTGTATTTGGTTAGTTGTTTTCTGATTACTTGTTCGGTGCAATTCGGCGGATGGAAGGAGGGGGGCATTTTGCACTTTCGCTGCTTCACTAGTTCCGGTTTACAAGTCTCACTCTGGTGAAACCTGTGAACTCTTGTGAAGCTGGACTAAGCTCGTCGAACCACCATTTTGTATAGTATTTGCACGGTATTTCATGGCTTTATGAGGGCTGACAGGTCTTCACTTGATGGTTCGACAAGTTGACGAGAAGTAGCAAACTGCAAAATGCCCTCCTCCACGAAACAGCGCCGTGATCTCTGAATTAATAAATTGAATTTATAAATATACTCTGATAGACTCGCAGAAAAGTAGTTTCTATATGACATATACCCATGCAAAAAATATCCTGCGAGTGTCGGTCAGGACATCCGTATTGCAATGATGCGAAACCGGCTCTGCAAGTGGCGCCTGCATAGAACTCAATCCCTGTATAATCTGATACTAGTCAGGAATGGTTGAGGATATTAGGGGATATACAGTACAATACCGCGCTGCGTAGGCGTGTGGTGGGAGTGTTGTGTGCGTCCACGAGAATCATGCCCTCAATTTTCCGCACCGTTTTGGTATGCCCTGGTGCACTTATTAATCTTGTTTGATATACAGTCAACCTAATTGGGAAATGATCGGGGTATACAGCTCGGTCTGACATCTGGTTAGGAGTCTTGCTTGCTAAGGTTTAAGCGTCAGTATGGAGAGGGGGAGGGTTGCGCTACCGGCCCGTTCTTGTCAATTGCAGGAAGAAAAGGAAAATAATGGATTTTCATCCTTGTTTGACACGCCCCAGCGAACATGAGTTTGAACCAAGCTAGGAAATGCCGCTCGGAGAGCCTCTTTCTGCCGCAACCTAGACCTACTGACAAGGCACTGAAATACCTTTTGACTTAACTTGCAACTAGGCTTTTTCACACTATAATTGAGAGGGCCTCGAAAAGGTAGATTGCCCATGCCTTTGGGATACGATATGGGATAGTGCTAGTGACTACCTTCCACTCAGGTTTGTGGAGGCATTTGAACGCGTATTCAGTAGGAATCTATTGAAGCTCAGGTATGCTCACGTCCTGGGAGACAAAGCT